TTTTCTTAATATTGATTTCCTTCTGTTTTAGCAAAGTCTCACATTCTTCCAACTGCTTCTCAAATCCATCTAATCGGGATAAGGTATTAGAACCATCTGAGGCAGTATTTGCTTCAATCTTAATCTTCTGACGATCTCTTTTTCTAAAATATCTATTAACCTCTCTAGTAAGCAATTCCTCAATGTCTAGATGAATCCCTCTTACCTATTCTTCAGATAGGGGATTATTTTTGCGGGTTGTAAGTTATAGCCATACATCCCTTTTCACAGATAGAGGTAAATGCTTGAACAAATCATCATAATGATTATTGAAATCAGGTTGATCAAACATCTGCTTTACAGGTATTAGTAACTGGAGAAATCTCCAGGAAAAAAAAATAATCCAGAAAGTCTAAAATTTCCAGAAAGATTGGGTATTCCATAACTTTTCAGCAAAACTTTTCGCTTAGAAATTGCTAAGAAATTACTAAAAAATTAGAGACTATTATTTTCCTAGGAAATAAAATATCAAAAAATTCCTAGAATATTATGCTAGACTTTGAAATGGAATATTTCTACAGGCAAATATCCAATTTATCTTAAATTGTTTATGTACTGTATATAGACCAATATAAGGGCTTTAAATCAAGGTTAAGATCACATAAATTCCATCATTGGATGCAAAGTTATTATATCTCAAATATTAGGCCAAAATAATTCTATAACACCGGCCAGAATTATGCGAAATTCATCTGATCATAGAATATGAACTGAATTCACAATGTCATGTGTGTGGTGCAGTATATTTTTCTTATAATGATAATCAGCCATAAAAGTCTGATTTACCATAACGATCTTGGAACGCAAATATCTCAACATCTACCAGTCTTATTTTGATGAGGATTAAACGTCTGAATTCAGCAGGTTCTGATATTTCCAACAACCCTAAATTTGTATATATTCAATCAGTGAATGTCGAGATATTATTCTTCAAAGTTCGGGCAAAAAAAATATATATACTCTAGCTAATTAGATCGCCCGAATATAACTGCATGATCATGTGACACCACGCAAACTTCTGTTGGATGTCACCTGACACTAAGCCCTAAAGGAGCAGTATCATATGACCAAATTATATACACATTATTTTATGGATACTATTAAACACCTTTGATTCTTAATTTGAATGGGTTAGAAGTTAATTATCAAATCATAGATCGATTTTGCAAAACGTGATACTGCAGAACCATTGCAATTTTTTCAATCAAAAAATAAATTGTTAATAAATGCTTGCCTTAGAAATACCTGAATTGCTTGAAGTTATCTTTGGCTTTCTTGATAGGAAAGACTTCTATAGGAGTTGTATCAGAGTAAGCTACCAATAGAATGCTGTATCCATATATGTTATTCAGAAAAAAAGAAAAAAGTGAATTTATTAATATTCCTGGCATTTGTGATAATATCCTTTTTCATCTATTTGATAATAATAAAGCTGAAATTAATAAATACTACAGTGTAAGTAAATTATGAAATAAATCCCTTATATATCTACATGAAAGAAATAGTCATTTTAGTCATCTTACACAATTTGAGTGGTTTCTAAAAGTTGGTCATGTTATTAGAGAATGCTTCTTTCAACGAATGAAATCTAATCTTATAGATTATATGGAGAAATATCTCCCTTAAAATTTAAAACATAATTGTGGACTTAATAGATATTATCAAGATATCTTATCCCAATATATTATTCGAGATGAATTTTTTAGATTATCTAAAGTCTCTCGATTATTCGATTATATATCAAATATCCAAAAGGAATTTCGTAGAGTAAGCAGAGTTTTACAGTCTATTAATCACCCCTCCTTTGTACCTTTTGTATTGCAGGAGATAGCTTAATTATTTTGACAAAAAAAAAATATAATAACTATAAGCGTAATATCATTAATCTAACTATAGCAATTCCTTAGCCTTATTAATTTCAGTTTCATTCTAGTTAAGTGAGCTGACTATGTAAGACGTATATTCATTTTGATATTTCTCTGAAAGCTTAGCCCTTATAGCTCTTTTTTCGGCTACTTCATGAGAGATACCATCTTTGACCATATTCTTGTATACCATAATAGACCAATGCCCATAAGGCAAGCTGGTTACCCTATCTGATAATATCCAGTGCTTAGTATCTATAGGGCAGAGTGCCTTCTTCTCAGATTCAACCAGAGATAATATGTGATCTTTTGATCAGATACCCACATTTTTGGCATAAAATACTTCCTTTCCAAAGAGACAATCCTGATATACTAAAGTCATGGGGTCTGCCTTAGCTCATATAGCTTCTCATTCTGATGATGAGAACTTATCTATTGGATCGTCTAGCAGGAATCCTTCTAAGCTTAGCATATATGTATCTATAGCCATTTCACTTATATCCTTCTTACTAACCCCTTATGCTTAGATATTGTGGACTTATCTGCTAAGACATAGTGCCATGATTTGGCCTGAATATGTATAGACTCGGTAATTATATTATTAGGAGTTTCATTCTTGAAAAGTCCAATAGTCTTCGAATCATTAAGATCAAAGATGTCAGGTCGCTCAGACATATCTTTATAGATATCCTCAGTCACGACTAAGAATATGAAAGAGTCTGTATTCATATAACCTAGCAGGACCTTATCACTGTATCTTTCTTTCATATATACATACCAGAAGCTGTACATGTGAAGCTTGCTAAGACCCAAGTCTGATGCCCAACTATAATAGGCTTATTAAGCGTCACACTGGCCTTTCTCATGTGTGCTCCTGCTAATGTGTATCTAAGCGGTCTGCAATACTTAAAAGATGGCTTGCGAACCTTATTCAAAAATGCCTTTTCATTCCGCTCATTATTCATCTTTATGAGCTTAACATCCTGATATTTGCGAACATTTTTCATAGTCTTGCCATATACTGAATTGTTCATGAGCTTGAAGAAGTTCTTCTCAAAGGCATTCTTGGCTTCTTGTCATTTCTCAGTATTAAATGCAATATATGGAGCAAGCCAGTTAGTCTGGTCGAATGAAAGGATTTCTGTTACCTCATCTACAACCATTCCTAACTTCACATAATATTGAAGCTCTTGGTAATGGATGACATAATCCTTTTGAGATCCAAGATGGGAAACTAATTTTTCTGTTGCAGAGAAACGTCTACCATCCAATCTCTCTACAAGCTCTTATTATATAGACTAAGCCAATTCTTTTTTACAGCGACATTCTCCACAGCTGGGGGTAAATCTCTCAAATAGTCATGAGTCTTAAGAGGGAAATGTGACTTAATGTTTAGGAAATATCCACATGAGGCATTTGCCTTAATTTTAAGAATCTTTTCGAGATATTTCGTTTGCATAATAGGATTCTTAAGAAAATATTCCCAGCTACATTCCCATTGATAATTTCCAATAGGTAAGAACTGACTCATCGCTCAGCCATAAAGATTGTTTGCATCGACATATGAGATCCATGATGTGGGTTTGGATGGGTTGAATGCCTTACCTATCTTGGAATTATTGGCCTTGAAATATCGCTTATAAGCCATAGATATACCACCTCTTTTAACCTTTTCAATGAAGTCATGCATTGACATATCTGTAAATAACTCGATCTTAACCCTAGTCTTCTTGAGCATAGCATTCCAGAATAAAGATGGGGCAGAGATATAGTGGCTGAGATTGAGCTCATAATATTTTATGCATGTCTTTCAGAATTGGGTCTAGATATCGGCAAGAGAGAGTATGTCTATTTTAAGATAGAGATCATGGTACTCACCTAGATTCTTACAACCATATGTTTTTCATACTTTCTGGGCATAGTGGTAATCTTTCTGTGAAATCTTCCCTTTTAGGGTAGTATGGAATTCATGAATAGGAGGAAGTTCAGTCTCCAAGAATCTATCCTGAGAATTGATATAGTTATAGGGGTATATTCCTTTGCGAGTTGCTAGAGAAATTTGATCTGAAGTAAAGTCTTTAAAATATTTGCTGGTGATTGGGTGGTCGTCGCCCAAGTTTTTTGTAAGATTTGCCAAGCTAATATTCATGAACTGCATACTATCAATATACTTGAGCTGACCTACCTTCATAAACTTATATCGCTCAAATGTCTCAGCTATAACTTTTATCTGATGCATATTAACCGAGCGTCCAACAGATTCACAGACCAAGTGAGAGTCATAGCCTCAGAAGTTATGAAAGACTACTGGGATTGGGGTCTTCTATGGCTCAATCTGGAGTTTGAGATTGCAATTCTTATGGGCTGATCTACGAAACTTACCTGTAATGTAGTAGTGATCCCAAACCTTATCAGCCTTAGCTTTTTCACTAGCAATTGTCTTGGTCATTTTTTCAATGGTTGTTTGATACCATTATATTCAGCTGACCCCTTTTTGAATGTTTCTAGCTTCTCTTTATGACTACCTATTTTGCTTTTTAGACATCCAATTTCCTTTATATTAATATTAAACTTACCTTTACAGATCCAACAGCTAATTGCTTTAGCAAATTTTTTCTTGTCTTTAACAGTCACTTTTCTTTCATACTTAATAACTAGGACTTTATTTATTTCTACCAGTTCCTGATCAATCCTCTGAATAAATTCTTGTATAGCAATTTCTCCCCAGTATAGGAATGAATCCAATACATCTTCAGTATCGATCCAGTGAACTAGATAGCTAAAACTGTTGGCCTTCTGCTTTGTGAGTTTGGTCATACTTCTACCATATGATTTGAATGGTTTCATTATCCCTCCTGAGTAATCCTATCTCATGTTGTCAGCCTTGAAGTTAGCTATAATAACACATGAGGCATTAATCATTCAACCATAGTTCTTGAACTGCTCGAAGTCATTGATACCTTTTACAGACATTGCGACTTTTTGAGAGGCATTTTCATGTATTCCTGGACACCATTCTAAATGATGTTCTAGAGATTTTTCTAAAGGCCAGCTTATAATGCATCTATCACATAAATACTTCTTACCATTATGGGAGTATCTTTGGAAATTAATCTGTTAATATTCTTGATCCAGAGGAAATGGTTCTTTTGCCTATACTTACCTGTTTCGTCATCTTTAGTAATATCTGTAAGGGCTAATAGACGAATTTTATGTTTTCTTTTAAAGTTCTTACTAGCTATTACTGTTTTGGGTGTAGCTGATTCTTCGTTTATCTCCCAGACATTAATAGAGATATCTGGATTCATCTCCTCTATCTTATTAAATATACGTAGGCAGATTGGGGTGGGTATAGGAATTCCATCTAGCTTGACAATATCTAAGTGCTTTTAAAGACTTTTTGCTCTATATATACGTCTTTCCAAATGATCAGTAATTCTATCCTGATTTGCATAATAACATCCTAATGCGTCTTTAATACAATTGTCTATAGGCTTGCCTGTAGCTGGATCTATGATATCTGAATTGTCTGGATTGATAGTACTCGTTGTGTTGGCTAGCTTTTTGGGAGTAAGAATGTAAGAACCTCCAGTAGCTTGACGATAAGTATAGGATTCTATTAATACCATTTCTAGCTAAAGAAGAATTTTGCCAGACTCTTTCTTCAAGTATTTTTCAATCTTTTCATCGATTTTCCCAGCGGATTTTGATATATGTTCATCTATATCATTCTCTGAAAGAAGTATATGTGATCTTCTCTATTATATGGATGATAATAGGTCTTTTCATAGTTTTTTATATCTGTTATATCACCACTTCCAAGGTATTTGTATTTCAAATATGTTGCATATATGAATATTGCAGATTTTATTTGATCCTTCCTATTGAGTTCTTCTTTAAGAACATCTAATTTGCTTATGTACTGATGTAATTAATTGGGGCATATATGGGACATCTACATATTCTATCTCACTATCTTGTTGCTTATTAAAAGCATATGCAGGGTTTTTGTTTGATGAGACAATCCCTTCCCATGTTGTTAGATGTTTTTGAGAAGGGTGTGCTCTAGCTGAATCACAGATTCTTTCTAGGAATTTTATCTCATCATGAGGTAGCTCAACTATTATTTCTTTTACTTCATATGCCCCTGTATTATAGGTCTTCCCTTTTTCTTGATAAATCGATTGGAAATACTTCTCAGAAGCGTACTCCTTTTGTGCTTCATATTCTTGCCTTTCGGCTAATAAAACGTTTTCTATTTTTTCCAACCTATTTTTTTCGATTTCTTCCTCTATTTCTGCTAATGTCAGAAGTTTAGCTTCTTTGGGATCATGATGCTCTTTATCCCATTTTTCAGCCTCTTTGTTAGTAATAAAATGTCTACTATTTGAATCTACAAATATAGTTTTGAATTGCTTTATATTCACATAAGGCTTTGGTGTAGAGTGTTGTTAATCTTAAACGGTTCGTCGTTAAGTTAACTAAGATTATTTGCTAACAGGGAGTTTAAAGTTCGTCTAAACTATGGAAGAAATAAACACGAATTAATTATGTTGAAGGGTCAGGTCGTCTTTATCGATATAGAT